TATTTAATTTTTTGCATTCAGTCGGCTGATTTTTAAAAAAATGTGGCTATTGAACTAGAATTGGCCGACTAGAGTTATTCATGTAATTCTGCCTTAAGACATCGCCTTCATGAAATCTCATTTTCAGGAACGTCCATAAATTTTATCAAGTTGCATCTGTATTACTAGTAGTTGTATTCGGAAATATTGAACGTTTTACAGTTCAGACTTATTTACGGTAAACAATTACATTCCGTTGCTAGAAATGTTAGCTATCAAGGATGTTTCCCTGTCTTAAAAACCCCTATATTCTTACAACATGCTACAACATTTTACACTTATTACAAAAACTACTGTACATACATGTAACAAAAACATTGTGCATACAAATTTAAAACCATTTTTGAATATTTAAATAAATTTATACCAACTTGCCTGAAGCCCTTGAATTTTAATCAATCATGATACTTGGCAAATTTAAAAAAAAATGTAAATATTTTCAATAATTTCTTAACTGTGTTAATTGGCCAGGACCTGGAATAATGTGAAAGTTGTGACAGTGACAGTGTATATTGTAAAAGAGTATTTACTTTTTATAGAACATTGAACTCAAAATAAACGAATCATATCCACAAATGTACTCAATGTGGCTGCGAGTTGTATTTTGGGTTGGTACAATTGTCACACTGTCACAACTACATGAATAAATAATTAAATGACATGATTTACACATAGCAAGATCAATTAGAAACATATTTTGCTTAACAATGTAAATCTTGTAATAATACAGAATCCAATTCAATAATAATTTATGCCATTTTTTTTCCAACTATGTTTTCCAGTGCATAACGATGCTCATGAATAATTAGTCATGTGCTACATATTGGAAACATCATAGTAACAATCTCATGAATAATTAATAAGCCATGTACTATTAAGTCTCATGAATAATTAACTACACAAAGCTACATTTTAACAATTCCATGAATGGATAATTAAATGATTATTACGCATTGGCAATCTCATGAGTTTATTAGACGAGTGCTACACATTGACAGCCTCATGAATAATTCATTAGTTGAGTGCTACACATTGACAGCCTCATGAATAATTCATTAGTTGAGTGTTACTTATTGGCAACCTCATGAATAATTCATTAGTTGAGTGCTACACATTGACAGCCTAATGAATAATTCATTAGTTGAGTGCTACTTATTGACAACCTCATGAATAATTCATTAGTTGAGTGCTACTTATTGGCAACCTCATGAATAATTCATTAGTTGAGTGATACACATTGACAACCTCATGAATAATTCATTAGTTGAGTGCTACACACTGACAACCTCATAAATAATTCATTAGTTGAGTGCTACACATTGTCAACCTCATGAATAATTCATTAGATGAGTGTCATTTCACAATCAAGTTACATAGAATCAATGTCATCAAGTTTTTTCTTTGTCTTTGTATGCCAAAGATGGAATTTACTAAATGTGGTTTTTCCAGTCTCATCCACATTGAATCCTTTTCCCTCAAGCTTTCTCTTAGCTTGATTGAACAGTGAAATGAAAGTGTCCCGAAACCTTGGATCAACAAGATATTTGTAAGACTTTATTGTTACTTGGTCAGTCCCGGATGGAGGCGACTGCTCAGACGTTGTGTCTGAGCTCTGTGACGGCTGTGGAATAACATCACGGCCAGCATGGCCGGAAGTAGCATCTACAAAATCAGCAACTCTGTTAGATGTCTCTTCTTTCTGTGAGTGGAAATAAAAGAGACAAAAATATTAAGTTCCATTTTCTAACGTCATCTCATCTACCATTCCCCTGGCCATGTAAAGTATAGTATTTGGAATAACGGGTGCGAAGACGATTGAGAATAGAACACCATTTGAGGGTAAAGAATTACTCTCACGGTGTTCTCGCTCCAGCGGCCATTTGCAAACAAGGTGTATTCACCCTTCCACATTTCAATGTTTTCACATTAATCATACTGCTGCTAGTCACCCAAATTGCCACAGCAAGGTGGACTGGACAAACGATATGAAAACGGCCAACTCTTTCGTGCTGTATATTCCACCTAGGTTACACGTGGCTTCTATTAAAATGGTACAATGTTACAGAGCGGATGCGGCTTCTATTAGAGCATCTACACGTATGAGAAATGGTGAATGTTGGTTCTCAATTGCTCAAAAAGAATGAGTGCGACTTATATTAAAGATGCTTCTAATACAGATTTTACGGTAGTATTGAAAGCATGTATTATGCCTGAATAATAAGTGAGATATTTTAGACAAGTTGCTTCCAGGATAATGTTTGAATGACATCTGTAGAACTTAGTAGAAAGGTTTGCATAATAATCAAAGTCAGTACTCACTTCAGCTGTGCACGGTGTTATTGCTTGTTTCAACGCGATACACAATATACCGCTATCAGTACTCTGCTTATAGCATGTAATCTCAGTTAACGGGTACGCTTGTTGTTGCGTATCTTCGCTTGTACTCACTATAAACAACACATCTGGTGTCAACAGCAGACATCCACTATGATGTAGTCCATGGTAGGTTACTATGGTGATGTCGAGATGCATCAAGATGGCGGCACTTGGCAGTGTTTGTAACATTTTCCTACAGAGAATGAAAAGACATTATCATTTTTTTTCTGTCTTATTGTAAGTGCATTATCAATTCTGAGAATTTTGCAGCCGCAAGTAGGTCTGCAAGTATCCTGAGTTCAACTCAAGCGACTGGCTGGCAATATTAGAATAATCGCATCCAAAGATTAGATAATGGCACTGCTGCTACTGTTGTCATTAGATACACATGTCTACTAAAATTGATACGAGTCAAATGTACTGTTAAACGATTTCACTGGCATTTAATTTCAATATTTTGATGTCTTTAGCAATATTAATGGGTTTTAAACTAAGGATTTTTGCTGTGAAACAAAGAGTTTTGCACGTTCACGTCAATTTAATTTAGTGAAAATTAAGAAATGATAAACAAATGAATAATTATCGTGTTTACAGTAACATATAATACTGTAAAAGGATTAATTATTCACTGGGTTTTAATTTTGCTTTTTTCGCTGACTGGAAAATGCGCTAAATTAAAACCCAGTGAATATGTAAAATTTAGCATAGAACACATTATCTTAATGATAAAACCGTGAATTTAAAACCCACTGAACATGCCTGAAATGCTAAATCAGTGAAATTTAAACCCAGTGAAAATTTGTCATTTTACAGTATACACACATTGTTTATCACCATGACTACAGTGCCTAAAATCCTAGTCATAGATTTAATGTGATTGAATCACTGACTTGCTGAACATGTTTGTATTGAATTATCGTTTTATATGCACACGTACATTAATGTAATCTGTCATGTTTTGTTCCGTCAGTCATGTTGTATTCTATGTTCCACAGACTGTACTTGTTTTTTTTCCTTTCATGTTTTCACCCAAATTCATCTCCCACAAATGTAACATTTCTAAGTGTGTATTGTCACAGAACTGGTCCAACTCAAATCATACAGTTAAAATGTACAGCTGGTTATGTAATGTTGCCATATGACGTTACTCACCAGACATATTTGACATATCCGTTCGTTGCCATAGCAGCTTGTTCTGAGCATGGCATAAATCTTGCTTTGGGTATTCCAACCAAACCAGCACCATGTAGTATACCTAGTATATGATAAAGAACAATCAGACTCAAACAATAGTTCAATGACTCATTAGCATAATTCAACAATAACTCAGTGGTTCATTGCCATAATTCTACAAAAGCTCAGTGCCTCATTAGCATAACTCAACAATAACTCAGTGACTCATTAGCATAATTCAACAATAGCTCAGTGACTCATTAGCATAACCCAGCAATAGCTCTGTGGCTCATTAGCATAACTCAACAATAGCTCAGTGAAACATTAGCATAACTCAATAATAACTCCATGGTTCATTAGCATAACTCAATAATAGCTCAGTGAATCATTAGCATAACACAACAATAGCTCAGTGAATCATTAGCATAGCTCAACAATAGCTTAGTGACTCATTTGCATAACTAAACAATAGCTCCATGGCTCATTAGCATAACTCAACAATAGCTCAGTGAATCATTAGCATAA